GATTGTTGGTGGCGACTCCAATGCTATCTATCCGATGTCACCGATAATGATATCTCTGATATTTTAGGGGATGAGGACATGCCATTGTCGTCGTTCGAGGATAGTGTGAATATCGATAGGTCATCGTGTGATAATATTATCAACAGTACTGGTCGAGTTCTGGTGAGTATGTGTGCTGCTCTAAGTATGCCCATCACGGCCGTTGTGGTACAGATTCCAATATTAAGTTTATTAATCAGAATGGATCAGGTGAAATCGATTATATTAGTGTATCTAACAGCCTATCTCTATATAGTAAACACTCTGAAGTTGTTTCACGAGCCGAGTCATTCCATCTACCGTTAACGTGCTAATTTCTGTCACGTGATCCTGCTGCCAACAATAGCACTGAAGGTGTACATGCAATACGTGTGTCTGACGTTATGTGTGGGAATCAAAGTATCTCAAACATTTCAGGGAGAACATGTTGTTACGTGCAGTTGTTGACAATTTGTTTAGAAATGTACACTATGCGTTGAAGAAACTGATGAGGCTGTTTACTGATGCGATATGTGAAGCAGCCGGTAGTATGAAACACTATAAGGAAACTAGACCCGTACACTCCGAACCATGGTTTGATGCCGAATATAGATTCTATAGATCAAAAATGGAATGACTTCTTAAAATGACTGACTGACTGAGTTTGGTTTTACGCCGCTTTTAGAAATATTCCAGCAATATCACGGCGGGGGACACCAGAAATGGGCTTCACTCATTGTACCCATGTGGGGATTCGAACCCGGTCGTCGGCGTGACGAGCGAACGTTTTAACCACTAGGCTACCCCACCGCCCCTCTTAAAATGATGTCCTCTAAGTAATCATATTAGAGACCGGAATGTTAAGTAATCATATTAGAGACCGGAATGTGAGTAATAAAATTTTTACAAGTCCCCATGTTAGTAAATCATGTTGGTCTACATTAAACGGACTGTCCCATAACCCTTTTAATTGTGTTGCAACCCAATAAAACCATTCTTGCCTGGGCTGACTATTTAAAAAAAACTCTGTTTCGTCGGAGGATGTTGCTGCTGAAGAAGACAATGTTAATGTTGAGACTGACTCTGATAATTGTAAGGAATTCCACAATGTTTTCAAATGTACAACAGACAGTCGTGTACCATTACTTACAGTGATTTCCAATGTCATGTTTGAACATGCTTCATTTCAAGAATCTTGGTTGGAAGCTGTCATTCATTCATGTGAGAAAGGAGATATACACACTCCGTTTATAGAGGTATTTCAACAATCCCCATTATAGTAAATCATGTTGGTCTACATTAAAAGGACTGTCACATAACCCTTATAACCGTGTTCCTACTATAATCATTGTTGAATGGGCTGAACATTTCAAAAACCTGTTTTTTATCAGATGATGTTACTGCTGAGAAGACATTGTTAGTGATGAGACTGACACTGATAATTGTGATGATATGAAACGCTTCAGTTTAGACTTTATTATTACACAAGAGGAAATTTTAACCGCCATTGATGGACTGAAGTACGACAAATCACCAACTGTTGATTTAAGAATTCCAGTATTTTTCAAATAAACAACATACATTCTTGTACAATATCTTACAATGCTTTTCAATGTCATGTTTGACCATACTTACTTTCCAGAATCTAGGTAATTTTTCCTATATGTAAGAAAGGTGATATACATTCTCCGTCTAACAGGTATTGATTTCTTCTGAGTGTATTTAGCAAGCTTTCTGTGCCTATACTAAACAGGAGTTGAACTTATTGGTATGATAAAACTGCATGGTTTCCACCATGATTACTCCACCATTGATATTTTTGTCCTTCAGTCACTTATCTAGAGATATATTAGTAAGCTAAAGGTTAAACTTTATTGTTTATTCGTGGATTTTGCAAAAGCATTCGACAGTGTAAGCCTTTTGAAATTATAGTCAGTTTTGAAATCTAGAGGTGTTTCTCTCCAAATGGTTCATAATTTACAGTCCATCTAATCATCCGTTAAGGCTAGTGTAAATTTGATAAATTGTCAAATGTCTTCCCTTGTTCATGTGGTGTTTGTCAGGGCTGTGTATTAAACCCTCTGTTGTTTTCAATTTTTATCATCAAGTTGGTTGTTGAGGTAGAACGAAGTTAAGGTCCATGCATTCAATTACATCCTGATGTTATTCAGATATTTATTCCTCTTTTCGCGGATGACATCTCACGTTTTCTGATACCATTGGAGGGTTACATCAGCATACATGTGTATCGATATTTAGTAAAAGTTGTAGATCGAATATTGTCTCAAGGTCAATCTAGATTAGTCAAAGTTGTCGTTTTTATGAAAGGTGTTTTTTTTTATCAAACAGAGAAAGGCTTTATAATGGTAGGAAACTGGAAGCTATATATAGCTAAAAAGCTTCATATAAGCATCGAGGTATAACATTTACAAGGGGTTTGTGTTGCTCTAGTCAATGTTCTTATGCAGCTTTGCAAGGTAACAATACTTTATTTGGTATTCTTAAAATATATCTTACGATATTTACTATGACAATATCTGTTATGTTGCACTATGGTGCCGAGGTGTGAGGATTCTGTCAGAATGATTGTATTGAATCTGTGCACACATTTATCTGAATTTAAGAGTCTGCTTAAATGTATTCATAGTTCACTTTAAAATGGCAGCACATCTATGTCGTGTTCTTACTTCAAAATATAAATTTTCAGGGCATAATTGTACTTAAATGTAATTAACGTGAAGAAGTTTAGAGTAGCACTCGCTCAGTTTAGATGTTTTTCACATCAGTTACGAATTGAGCCGGGAATGTTTTATAATATAGATAGAAATGATAGATTATGTTTACAATGCGATGAAGGTTATATTGAGGATGAATACCATTTTCTGTGTTCCAAATTTAAACAGTTCCACTTGAACCATTTACCTAAAACCGTTTGTACCAACCTTTTCCAAAGTAAAGCTAAGTTCAAATTCCTCATGTCATCATGAGATTGTAAACTTATCATTTATTTAGCTGGCTTTGTTTGTCTTGCAATGTACCTAAGGTGTCCAAATTATGAATTTGTACTGTACACACCATGTTTTGCCATGGATAATGTAACCTATACAGCTATTGGCCGATGGCTTACACTGTATAAAAGAATTGAGGTATATCCAAATGCGTATGTATGTATGTGTGTGTATGGATGTATGTATATATGTATGTATGTATGTATGTATGTATGTATGTATGTATGTATGTATGTATGTATGTATGTATGTATGTATGTATGTATGTATGTATGTATGTATGTATGTGTGTGTGTGTGTGTGTGTGTGTGTGTGTGTGTGTGTGTGTGTGTGTGTGTGTGTGTCTATATCAGTGTGGATTGACGGATAATAATTTGACAAGGAGGTATCTATGTCTGTCTTATTATCTAGAACAAAGCATGTGAACGCCAGACAATAATCTAGTTAATTAACTGACTTTTCAGCAATTCAAATCCTGTTTCTTTAACGTTTTTTTTAGGCTCCTCATGAAGGCTGTTGATAAAGAAAGATGCAGGGACCTGTGAGTATAGCCGCATCGACAATATTTCACCCGTATCGTGTGACCAAAGTTATGTTATGTGATACAGTACAACCAGAAAGTATTGAGAATTTAAAGATTGTATTTTTTAAAAATAATTTCACTCATTACTCACGTTATAATGTGAATATTAGCAGAACATAACACCAGATTCAAAGACAGGTGAACAGTTAGTATTTTGTCAAGTCACCATGGGCAGCAATGCAGGCTTCAATGCGGCGGGGCATACTACTGATCAAAGAAGATAGAAAGTCGTGGTCCATGCTGTCCCAATATCGGACCACCTCTTCTTTCATTTCAGCAATATTTGTCAGATTTTTCTCATTGAAACTTTCCTTCATAAGTGCCCAAACATCTTCTATTGGATTTAGGTCAGGGCTATAGCTTGGCCAATCTAATAATGTCATATTTGGGTCCGAAACCAGGCCTGTGAATGCATTAAACGGTGTTTTGGGTCGTTGTCCTGCTGGAAAAACCAAAATTGTCCTTAGAACGCGTGAGCAGATGGAAGTAAATGTCCCTCGAGAATATCTATGTACCGCTGACTTTACATATTCCCTTCAAACACACAGAGGGGCGTTGCCCCTAACACAGATATGCCACCCCACACGTTAAATTTCGGACTGTACTTTGGGCTCTGATACAAAGGTTTTTCAGTTTGTTTGCTCCAGAATTTCAGTGTATTAGGAAACAGCCACACAGAACTTTCATCTGAGAAAATCACATTGTCCCAGTTAAAATTTCTATGCTGTAAGCACCAGTTCAACCTTCGCTCCTTCGCTCCAGGTTTCATGATCGCTGGTGGAATTCCTCGACTTTTCTGCCAAACCATTGCATGCAGCTCAGTTCTAATTGTCTCCTTACAGACAGCCACAGTTCCTCTATCAATCATATCCAGCCTTAAGTTTTCCAAACTCCTTCGTTTGTTTTTAGAAACAAGAATACCAAGCCGCCTCCTGTCACCGACAGTCAATTTTCTGGGCCTACCTGCGCCTCCCTGCGCTCAATGCCATATCCATTTGCAATATTTTTCAAAACACGATAAACAGTGGATAAAATGATGCGTGTTCTACTTGAAATCACTCTAGCCGATCTGATGTCCTTGGTATAATACTCTAAAATCAACTTCCTCTTCTCTAAATCATCCATACTGAGGATCACTGAAAATGTCGTCTGCGAGCAAGTAACCAAAGGGGGATAACTCTTCACAAACTAATGAAAAGGATTAACGGAGTTGTCTCTCTTGAATGAAACCAAGCACTTGATAGCTGGTCAAGGTTGTTTATACTAAAAATCCAATTAAACATATTCCTAACATTTTCAATAATTTCTGGTCATACTATATATCTGTCGACAAAGTGTATTGTGATATGGTATGTTAATGTAAACGTAATATACATAAGGAAACAACTTACCAAAGCAGAATGCTGATAGAGGCCGATGTGTTTTCAGCTCGTATATCTCTCTGGCGCCACACATCCTTGTATTGATGTTGAATGAAATATTGCAGGGACGATTGTTGGCCCTAATGCACATAAAGGACGTCGGGCCCATTTTACCTGGATAAAATACAACGAAACAAAAACGCCTTGAGATAAATTATCACTTGCACTTAATAATAATGATGATAATAAGTGCATTTATTATGCCCTATTTTCCATCCTTTGCGGTTGCTCAAAGCGCAGGTATCAAGGGTAGTACTTGGAGAAGAGATGGGTTTTAAGTTTGGACTTGAAGACAGCTAACGATGGGGAGGTTTTGATATCAGGCGGAAGATCGTTGCAGAGAGAATGTGAGATTGATCTTAAGGGTGGTAAACAGATGTTGATCATTGGATCTCAGATTTTTGCTCGAAGTATATTTCTGGAGAGGTTCTTTCAGATATACTGGAGCGACGTCATGGTTACAGCTGTAGTCCAAAGATAGAACTGTGAACTCGATTTTAGCTTGTACGGGGAGCCAATAGAGATTCATCAATATTGGTATTGGATGTTTTCTTGCAGCAATGAATTAGCCGAACTGAAGCATTTTGTACTCTCTGAGGCTTCCTGAGTACAACGTGCCGTATGTTGATAAGCAAACTGTTACCATAGTGAATCCTTCCTTCTAAATTATTTAAAACTCAGATAATTTCAAATGCTATCCTGGTGACATTATGCCATAGTGTAATGTCTCACGTTACTATAGCAGGGTCAACGTGGGCATAGACTACCAACACTCTGCTTGGGTGTGAGGTTGTTTATTTCGGTGAATGTGATCGATAAACGACACCCCTGTGGGTGGTACAAGGATGCACAACAATCGGGCACAGCACCAGTCGTATGGACGGGGGACTTATGGGCTTAATGTTACACTGTGTGTCTGTCTAAGCTGTCCAAGAGTCAATGCAGAATGAGTGAAATTGTGCATGGAGTTAGTGAGACCAATCAGCCGAGAAGCGTCATGGCTTGGGCAATTAGTGAGACAGCCCAAGCTCTAAAGCTTAAACCTTAAACTGACTAGAAATAATATAGCTAAAAGGAGAGAATAATAATATGATTAAAATAATATATTTACACTGAAATACACCTGCCACATTACGCCTTCATTTGACTGGACAATGAAAACCTTTGTTTTATTCTTTGACCAAACGATTCATACCCAGGTAACGACAAATAATGATAATTATGAAATGTTCCTCAAACGTGACATGAAACTAAACTCACTTTCTAGATATAATCATTTCATCTGCAGTATATATTAATTTTAGGAAAAAAACAAGGTCTACGTTTAGTGTTGATGAAATTATGTTTTCAATATTCTGTGTCATGTTAGTGTTAATGAGATTTCACAAACACTGATATTCAATGAAACGAAACGGTCGACATATCGTTATATTGTGCGACCTGAAAGTATGCAGAGTGTCACTGTATAGCTATTTACATAAAAGAGACAGAACCTATTCAGTATTTGTGCATAATGAATAGTTCTTTATTTGATTCCGACTTTATGAAATTTAGCATCTGTATATGGCATAGTGATGGCACCAGGTGTTTGAAACGCAGCACCTGGTGAATGTTGGTAGTGTAATATGTATCTTTACTTGCCAGTGACATATTCACTTGCAATCAATGTTTGATGAATGTTGGTAGCGTGATATGTATATTTACTTGCCAGTGACACATTCACTTACAATCAATGCATGATGAATGTTGGTAGCGTGATATGTATATTTACTTGCCAGTGACACATTCACTTACAATCAATGCATGATGAATGTTAGTAGCGTAATATGTGTATTTACTTGCCAGTGACACATTCACTTACAATCAATGCATTGTGGATGTTGGTAGTGTGATATGTATATTTACTTGCCAGTGACACATTCACTTACAAACAATGCATTGTGAATGTTGATAGTGTAATACGTAGCTTTACTTGCCAGTGACACATTCACTTACAATCAATGCATTGTGGATGTTGGTAGTGTAATGTGTATATTTACTTGCCAGTGACACATTCACTTACAATCAATGCATGGGGAATGCTGGTAGTTTGATATGTAGCTTTACTTGCCAGTGACACATTCACTTACAATCAATGCATGATGAATGTTAGTAGCGTAATATGTGTATTTACTTGCCAGTGACACATTCACTTACAATCAATGCATTGTGGATGTTGGTAGTGTGATATGTATATTTACTTGCCAGTGACACATTCACTTACAATCAATGCATTGTGAATGTTGATAGTGTAATACGTAGCTTTACTTGCCAGTGACACATTCACTTACAATCAATGCATTGTGGATGTTGGTAGTGTAATGTGTATATTTACTTGCCAGTGACACATTCACTTACAATCAATGCATGGGGAATGCTGGTAGTTTGATATGTAGCTTTACTTGCCAGTGACACATTCACTTAAAATCAATGCATGGTGAATGTTGGTTGTGTAATATGTAGCTTCACTTGCCAGTGACACATTCACTTACAATCAATGCATGGTGAATGTTGGTAGTGTAATATGTATCTTTACTTGACAGTGACACATTCACTTACAATCAATGCATACATTCACATTCACTTACAATCAATGCATGGTGAATGTTGGTAGTGTAATATGTATCCTTACTTGCCAGTGACACATTCACTAACAATCAATGCATGGTGAATGTTGGTAGTGTAATATGTAGCTTTACTTGCAGTGACACATTCACTTACAATCAATGCATGGGGAATGTTGGTAGTGTAGTATGTATCCTAACTTTCCAGTGACACACTCACTTACAATCAATGCCTGGTGACTGTTGGTAGTGTAATATGTAGCTCTACTTGCAGAGACACACTCACTTACAATCAATGCAAGGGGAATGTTGGTAGTGTAATATGTATCCTTACTTTCCAGTGACACACTCACTTACAATCAATGCATGGGGAATGTTGGTAGTGTAATATGTATCCTTACTTTCCAGTGACACATTTACTTACAACGAATACATGATGGATGCTACGTTAACATAGATGACATAACGTAAGTCTTAACATAGATATCTAAAAGTACTTGTTTTACCTGTTCTATAAATGGGATCCCTTGTTCCACACCGGTCCGATGAACCTGGGTCATCATTGAGCAGCTCCCACCCAACAGGCCCAGCGTACCAGCCTCGGGCCAACCTTGTGTCATTGTTAACCAATGGGGTTCCTGGGTAGTGTGGGGATCGAGTGACTATGTGAATCAGTTCAGTGAATTGTTCACATGGATCTCGTCGAATTGCCATATACTGTTCTGAAAGAATGCACAAAGGGATGTCAGTTGTCTGGCGCTTTTACAGCACATGCAAATATACTGGTCTAAAGGGTTAGGTTGCAATATATTTACACTCGGGAAGTCTTGTGGAAATTTCTAGGCCTGATCTGATCCATATGTTAGTTCTGCCACCGTTTTCTTAAGTGAATAAAGAGTTGTGGCGTAGCACAGTTCGCCCGTCATGTTGAAGGTCCCCACTTTGGCAGAATGCATAGGGTCCATTCCTTGTGTCCGCCGCCGTGATATTGCTGGAATATTGTTTGGAGTGGCGTAAAACCACCTGCAATACGTTGAATGTATTTAAAAGAAACTCATTGCAAGAAGGCCACCACCTGTGTTGAGGCCATTTTTCACCTTGGATACTAAGCCTTGGCTTGACCACTGATACATGCAATCGTCACTGCGTGAATATATGTGATGCGTGGATAACGTCAGATTCTACAACTTTCTAGCCGCATGGCGACTGGCCTAGGCAATCCAGTGAATGACATTATGAATATCGATTATGATGACATAAAGTGAGTGAGTGAGTGAGTTAATATTTAACGTCACATCGGCAATATTGCAGCCATATCGTGACGAAAACAAGCCATACAATAAAAAGTAGAAACAGCGAGTGAGTGAGTTAATATCTAAAGTCAAATCGGCAATATTTCAGCCAAATCGTGACTAAAACTAGTTCTAAATTCATAATATATACATACATATAATATATAAACCCTGTCAGCAAAGGACAGTAAAACAACTAGATTATCACACATTGAGTTAAAACTAGCTAGCATATATCTTTAAAAGTACAAAACTATTTTTGGACAATACAATGTAAAAATGGGCTATAGATCGCCAACAACTGAAGGTAGATCACCATACTAGGAACCATTGGGACTTACATTACGATGACATAAAGACATGCATCAACCAAGCGACCACGCGTTTCCTTTAGTCACACTTCACATTACCTAACAAATCCTGCTAGGAAACCGTGCAGGAAGCAAGGGTATTGTAAGTCCCCAAGGTCCCTTAGTATGGTGTCCTTACTTCCGTTTCTAGCGATTTCTTGTCATTTTGTTATCTCGTATCATTAATTGATTGTGTATTGTTAATTTTACTCGATCTAGTTTTAACAAATATGGGATAACCTAGTAACTTTACTGTGCTTCGTTCGCAGGGTTTTATAAATCATTTGTATTTATCATGAGTTTTAAGAATGGCATATTAAAACATTGCTCAATCATGTATGCGTGTACAAACTAAAGCAGTATACTTACCAGGAAGTTGGCAGTAACAAGCCAAAGGTAATAGAAGCAGAATGCACACTACCTGCAAGAATCAACATTTGAAGTTAGCCGGTTTCCAGATCAGAGAGTAATGTAGTGAATATTACGATAAATAACATAGCTGAAGAAATTCGTTCTCAAAAGTACCTTCGACTTCCATCTAATCGGAGATAATGCGCACGTGGGGCTAAGAGTGATTAAGTGAGTGAGTTTACATTTTAAGTCACATCGGCAATATTTCAGCCACATCGTGACTATTAACAAGTTTGAATTCATCATAAATACATGTACGTTATATAAACCTGTCGACGAAGGACAGTAAAACCAACTAGAATATCACAGACGCAATAAATAAAACCAAAGTACTTTCGGAAATGCTAGAAAAATGCTTTTTGACTTATATTTAAAATTCAGAGGTATTACAGTTACTTAAATAACAAATATCACTTTAAGAAACATCTACCAAATGTAGACCGAGGGAATAAATTTAGAGACATGCCTTAAAATGCGCTTTTAGTGATGAAAATAGCGTCATCAGCATGCACGGTATCGACAGGTGAAATTGACACCTGAGCACACGCTCGGGCGAGGGGTCATCTCAATAGATGTTTTCTTCAAAATGTTGAAAATGTGTACGTATAGTATACGTATTGGTTATGTAAGGGATCATTTGTGTCATACGAATTACTGTACATTGGAAAGAATCCTATCACTTGTGTTATCTTATCGATTGATTGTAGAAATGTGCAACGTTTTATTAAATGTTTAGCGTGTCAACAGTATATTTCATTGCAAAAATATGGATGTAATTCGGTCAGTTTAATCTAGTTTTCAACATTGGCCAAAGATTTAACGAAATCACTGGTGTAGCTTCTTTAGAATATATATATTATTCTTCCCCTAAAGTTTTTAGACCGCGCGTCTAAGAACTCCCTTGTCAAAGTTGTCAAGGACGGTTTTACGTCCCGGTTTTGCTTTTGAAACGGTCCCTGTCTTGTCTAATTTGTTTACAACATTGTAAACTAGTTGGTAAGACATACCAACAGCTCTACAAGCTCTGTAATAAATCATTTCTATACAAATGAAAGATTTACCTCTGTCTTTTTCAAGCACAAAAAAACAGAGTGGACGCTGTGATAAAGATGTGCATGCATGACGGGAAACTTATTTATCAAGACTTAACATTTATATTAATATTTCTTCAGGAAAGAAACGATAATTAAGTTTGTAACACAAACATTCAACATTTATTTGTTTAACAAAAACGTTAATCTTTATTTTTACACCACCTGTATTATTAGCATAAATGTAAAGACTATTTCAGATTTCTGTTGTTGAACTCTCTCCTGTAAACTGCCCTTTAAATGCATGGGAATGTAAAATCAATTGAAATGAAAATTAGGTACGCTATAGGTGAGTTGATATATTGACAACTTAATACATGTAGCACCTTTAGTATCTATCTCTAAAACTCGATTAGGACAATACAATGTAAACAACGGGCTATAGATCACCAGCATCCGAAGGTAGATGCATAACTACCAGTCAGTGAGTGAGTTTAGTTTTACGCCGCACTCTGCAATATTCCAGCTACATGACGGCGGTCTGGACAATTGGGAACCGATGACCACCCGATCCCACTAGTCGCCTCTTACGACAAGCATGGGTTACTGAAGATCAATTCTAAAGCGGATCTTCACGGACACGTGTGTAACTACCGGGAAGCCGGGACGGTTTCATCTCAATACCCGTGCAGAGACAAGATCTGGAAACTTGGACATATTCTTGTTGAACACAGGTCTGTTCTAATCAACAGAAAAGTTAATATATTCAACTTAGAGAACATTGAATTAACGGTTGTACCTTCCACACGATGATCACAGATACTTGCTAATTATGATGTGTGGGCTCTCGGCACCGTACCCTTGTTCGTGGGCAACGTACCGTTAAACACAAACTACCCTCTGCATGATAACCCCCTAGTGTATCCGAAAGGGACATTATATTGATATGCCGAACGTTTCGTAAACATAAAACCGAATAAACTATAATGTTATGTATGTTTACGAGACAGGCTAGTGGATGAACTCAACAAGAAGGAAAATATGCTAACATACCTTTCCCATGACTTAGGGTTGATCTCGAAGTCAGCTGGTATTGGTGTCTATCTTGCTTCCATCCAATGTTCCTACAAGACATCCCGAGATACTTATATACAGTTATCAGATATCGAACACGTCGGGCTGTTGTTCCCGTTCCAACCAATTGGCAAATGTTATCTTAAGTAGTTATATTGACTTATAATCTCTCTCAAATCAGGGCTTGCGATCGATCCATTTTAACACACCCACTTCGCCACGTATGCTATGTCCAATTTCTCAGCCAATATTTCACTAAGTAGGTCGCTGGGTCGTTGTACCTGTAAGAGGATGATTGCGTGAGTTAAAATGTTACAATTTCTCATACAACATTTCGCAGTTACAATTTATGATACAGACAAATTTCTCTCAAAGTGTTTACACGGGAAAACATATCTTTTAGATTTGTTGCTTTTTAAGGTGAATCCCTTGCATTTGAAAAGTCCAGTCAAGCAGATTATGCTTGTTGGTGAATAATTCTTCACAAGAGATACCAAAACAAGTTGGACACCCAGGGAGGTGTAAATGGATTACATGAAATCAAACCAACTATGCCCTATGTGGCATTCGAGATATACACACTTATATATCTACATTTATTAAAGGTGAAGCTCCTCAATTCTGTTTCCTTTGTGGCACTGTAAGTCCCCATGGTCCCTAGTATGGTGATCTATCTTCAATTGTTGGCGATCTATAGCCCGTGTTTTACATTGTATTGTCCTTTTTGAATACAAGGTTTTAGTTTACATGTTAGTTTTCAATTAAGAGATGTGATATCGATAATGTTTTTACGATTTAGATTTATTGATTTGAATATTGATATAAATGAAATTGTACTCGTCACGATGTGGCTGAAATATTGTCAATGTGACGCTAAATATTAACTCACTCACTCACTCACTCACTGTATCCTTTGTGATGAAAGAATCACTGTCAAGCATGTCCAGCTTGACCGTATTCAGTTTTTTCATAACAAGAGATATCAGTATTAGTATCAAAATCTGCATCAAAATCAGGATCATTTGACTAATACAAATTGTCATTTAATAATTATATTTTTTTAATATTGTATTTGTATTGATAAACGTAAGTTACAACTTCATTTTATATTGGGTTGAACGAACAAATAGCCTGATTATTAGTGGCTGTACTTTCAAATGGTGTTGAAGTAGCGTAAAGTGATTGTATGTAAGTTCCATTTCATTAAAATATTTACCATCCTATGTGATTTTAGTCACAAAATATGTGTGTCTTTAGAATAAGTATATCTTGTTGTTTCGCGCTCTTTTGTATTCTTATGAACAAAACATCAGACTGACAAAAGTACCCCACTAACTTCCGTACTGACTGTTGCTTCATTCATTTGAACAGAGTTTGTGAGTGAGGTAATACTTAACGTCACATTGTCAATAGGTCAGCCATACCGTGACGAGTATATTTGACACTGATAAGGAATATGTGTGTAATAAAGGACCTGTTGTCAAAGGACAGCTAAACAACCAGAGTATCAAAGTTAGAATTAAAATTAGCATGTAAAGTTAAAACTAATGACCCTATGGGGCAATAAGTAATATATAAACAGGCTACAGGTCGCCAACAAGTGAAGGGAGATCACAATACTAGGGTCCATGGGTCGATTTAACTGGATTTGCACCATCCCTTCAGCCATTGGCGATTCAGCTTAGATTTAGCGACACGTTAAAATGACAATACTACTATGATTAAAAAGGTTTGGAAGATCAAACCTTACCTTGAAAGTGAGTGAGCTAAAATTTAAAGTCACATCGGCAGTATTTAGCCATATCGTGACTAAGAATGTTGTAAATTTATAACTGAATAAAAATAAATTAGAGAATGTACTTACCTGTCTACAAAGGACAGTAAAATAACTAGAATATCAAAATTATAGATGTAAAAATGTATGAAAATGTAAAACAGCTTAACTATGAAAGACAATACAAAAAACAGGCTATAGTTTGCCAACAACTGAAGGCAGACCACCATACTAGGGACCATGAGGACTTACAGTACATGTGCTTCCTGCATGGATCCTGTTTGGATTTACATCATCCATTCAGCTAATAGCAATTTCAGATAATCTAGCCATACATTTTAGATAATGAAGAGACAAATACTACGATTAAAAATAGTAGTAGGTCTAAATTTACTTTGGAAGTTTTGGGATTTATGTATCCTCTCAGGAGACAATAATTTGACACTACTTTAACCCCCACAGATGTGGGATGCTGTCCTTTAACTTCTGTTCGTATTTCATTCTCCGTAATATCTTCTAGGCAACATACTCTTGTCAGAGATGATCCCTCAACTGGAGTTTAAGTTTCTGATCACAGAGACAGTAACCTCAATGTTTGCAAAAGTTAAACATTTCAGAAGATCGGTAACTTGCTGTCTCTATGCACGCTCTACTAACAGAGCACCACCTCGGGACCGTGAAACATTTGATACGTCGCCACATGTACCTCCAACTGCTATGAATATCGCAAAAGCGTTTGTTTCCAAGGGAGGTCCATTTTTAGATACCACAAAAAATAAATCTTTCCCAAGAATTAGAATTTTGAGGAAAAGTAATATCATCAGACGAAAATATCTCCGCTTTCACATTTTGACACCATTTATATTCACAACAGTTTTTACTATACTACGAGTAAAACTGGTAGACCTAAATTTACTATCAGTGTTTTGGGACTAACGTATGCTCTCAGCTGGACAATTTTACAATTGTTTAAACCCCTGAGGGTACATCCACTAACAATTTGAACTCTTAATTTAATCAACGAATTATCACCCCAAAAAAATCTAGTTCTAGTTCTCACAAATTTGCAATCAGTTTTGTTTCTTTGTAATACATTCATTTTAACATATCCTTGATTGTATTCACACTGGAATAGTTATCCACTGTGATGGAACATTCAAGACAATCAAGCAGAACATATTCATGAGTCTGTCTGAATGGCCAACACGATATCATCACATAATGACCCCTTCAAACAGTACCGACAACAATGCGTAATGCATTGTCCCACTTCCTTTATATTAGATCTCGAGCGTAACAGCTGATGAGAGGTGTTTAGTCTGTGGAGGGGATGAGAAGTGTTGTCAAAGATTTCTTGAGTGTTGCTTTTGCTGCAGCATCAGCCACCATGTTGCAAAACAATTCAATATGACTGGGTAACATACAAAATACAATGTCGTATTGGGCAGTAGCATGAACAGTCAAATAGAAGTGAATGTTTTCAAATAGAAATGAATGTTTTCAAATAGAAGTGAATATTTTCAAATAGAAGTGAATATTTTCAAATAGAAGTGAATGTTTGGACGACCTGTATTTATAGCCTGAAGACACGCGGGAGATTCTGAAAATATCAACTGTGTATATTTAGACGAGTTATTTATGGTTTAGAGCTGTTAATATGACACTAGCTTCTGCTTTAAAAATAATGTTGTCATCCGGTAACCGTGAAGATATTTTTCTGGATTACATGATAGTGGTACTAGCACCCCTGCCACCATCCTTTGACCCATCTTTGAAGTTATATTTGTGTATCATAAGTGTTTCATAATTCATCATGTCGTTGTTGGTACATAAGTTGGGTTCACGTCCAAAGTTACTAACTCCCATGGTGAAGAAGAAGAAAGCTCAGTTTGGACAATATTGTCAAGGTCGATTCTAGCTGCTGAAATACATGCAGGTATTTGACAATGGTACAAGAATCTGAATCAAAACGTGCACTCACGAAATAAAAATTGGTTAATATTGTCATAAAATCCTCGTTGGACAGCATGCCAAAAAGTGATACATCGATAGGTCAAGTATATTTACCACCGAATTCCCGTCTCAGCAGTAGTTTGTAATTCCTTTATGCAATCAGATAAGGAATTGTCGTATTTGACGTTTATTTGACCAGTGGAATAATTTTAATATGGGTTCATAAGAAATCTATGTTTTGATAAATAAAGATAGATTGGAATGTTCTTTGTTCACCACTTACCGACACCACCATATTAAATAATGACGGACGTGTGGAGGACAATACAATTTTGAAGGATAAATGACAGAAATAACTCCATTGCTATTTCCTTTTGTATCCTGCATCATATGTTATCGGACATTTCAAGACAGGCGTTTTACAAACGTACAGTATTAATACATTTGTCAATATCAAACAATACTTAGGTTTACATACATACAACTGTGGTTTAACAGAGTGCGGCTGTTACCACTTCACGCTGGGGCCTTGTCAATATCTCTCTTGTGTGAATCTGGAATGCATTTGTGCCGATATCGTGATCGTATACTTACACTATATATGATGAACCCATCTGGACTATTGACGGACAGAACAAAACTAATTTGGAGAATAACGAGTAACCAATATTTTATGAACGGATGTTGTTTTCTGGGTTTTCTCATTTTCTGATGTTGTTGTTGTTTGTGTGTGTCTATTTTATAAAATTATTTTCACTCTTGACTCAGCACGGCACATTCATGAACGCCCTGAAAATATGGACTGTGTATATTTAGACTGCGTATTTATTTATTTTTAGAGCTGTTAATATGACATTAAACCCTGCTGTAAAAAGCGCTGTCATCCGGTAATCTTGAAGATATATATTTTTCATGGATCAAATGGCAGTAGCAATGGCGTGATTGACAGTAGTCATGGCGTCAAGTCAAGCAATATTCACTCACTCACTCACAGATTTGAACAGGTCATTATGCGACATTGGCCATACAAGGTACACTCATTAGTGTTTATTAAAAGGTGTGTATCCTTGTCATTCTTGACTGTATTGGGTTTTCAATTGCAAGGAATACATATATCAGTGTCAAAGCAATTAGAGATCTTTTTAATCATGTTGATTATCATTTAAAAAATTGGTTACGAGAAATAGAGTTGAACTAAAATTTTGAAGAAGCATGTGTATCAATGGAATTTATTGGTAGATTGAATTAGTAAATCAGATTTTAAGTGGCTGTATATCAAATGGCGTTAAAGTCCCTATAATCCCTAGGCATTCTTTAGTCTGTATGTTGTATTGTCTTCTACAGTTGAATGTTTTACATTTCC